TCGACCAGTAGAGGAGAAACCAAGTTCAGGATGCGGCTGCTTGGACACCCATGCAAGACCGAGAGCGAAGTCAGCCCGTGCGCTGCCTGACATTGCGCGTGGGTGTGACGCTGCCCGCTTCCTGCGAGCTGTCCGCAACCACGGTGGCCTGCGAGCCGACACCATTGGCTGCTTGAACAATCTGTTCCAGCTGGCCTGTCAAGTCAGCCATGTTGGGCTGGCACACATCCAAGAGCACGCCGTGTTCACGCACGTGCTGGACCAGCTGTCGCCATCCCATCTCGCCGTGTTCCCCGGCTGCGAGGGTGTCCAGCGCACCGACGATGACAACGCGAGCTTTGGGATGTCCGCGTCGTACGTGCGCGTGACCTTGGCTGAGAGTGAGCCCCGTGTGGCTCCACCCTCATTAGAGAGGGCATTGCGCAGGGCCGTTGCGAAATCGGTCATCGCCTCTTCATGGCCCGTGCGACTGGCGGTGGCGAAGGCAGCAATCATCGCCTCCCTTTCAGCTCGGGCGGCGGCAGCGCTAGCCTCTCGGTCAATGCGGGTAGCCGCCGCATTGGCGGCTGCGATGGCTGCAGCGATCTGATTAATGTCGATTTGCGACGGCAGTTGCGCCGGGTTTGCCTCCTGCGGTGGCGCCTGCGTCGGTGGTGCCCCTTGCGGCTGCGGTGGCTCTTGCGCCTGCGGTGCCTCTTGCGGCTGTGGGGGCTCTTGCGCCTGGGGTGCCTCTTGCGGCTGTGGAGGCTCTTGCGCCTGGGGTGCCTCTTGCGGCTGCGGCTCTCGGTCGGTTGGCGGCTGGTCCCGATCCAGTGTTGGCGGTTGTTGCGCCTGTGATGGCCCTTGCGCCTGAAGTGGCTCTTGCGCCGGTGGTGGCTCTTGCGCCCGCGGTTGTGGCTCTTGCGCCAGGTGCGGCTCTTGCGCCTGTTGTGGCTCTTGCGCCTGTTGTGGCTCTTGCGCCGGGTGCGGCTCTTGCGCCTGTTGTGGCTCTTGCGCCTGGTGCGGCTCTTGCGCCGGGTGTGTTTCGGCATCGCGTGCTGCAGTGCTCCGCGTGCCAACAGTGTTGCCATGCAAGGCGTGCATGTACTTGTTCCACGATTTGTGGGATATCGCCCAATTGTAGGCGATGACACCGGTTCGGCAACCGGTAATGGCGTATTGAAACGCGTCGATCAGGACGCATCCGCCGCTACCACGCTGCGCGAGCGCGGGTGGCCCCCTCCCCGCCCTTGGGCTTGGCCGCGGGGCGGACGACCGGACCGCGGCTTGGCGCGGCGAGCGAGGCCGACCACGGGGATGGGGGCCGGTGAGGATGGATAGCGTTCGTGTTGTTGGGCTCATGAACGGGAGGGCGGCACCCCCCGGTGGCGCTCCGGCCGGTGTGCGCTTGGGCACGTGCAGTTGGATTCGGGTACTTTGCTGGTATGGTATCTGTAAACAGTGGCCAGGGGCGGGGCTTGCATTTTTGCCGTCGCCAGTCGCCCTACTCTTAGAGAGAGAAATGAGCAAGAGTGCCTTAGTCCCCCGGCCAAGCAAAAGGATGTCGCAAACCGGAAGCTCCGACGGAGTTCCTTCTATTACGCGTACCATGCTACGACCGCGTACGGAGCCGAGGCGGTTGGCGCCAGGCGCGTTCGTGCCCCACCCTCGACGCCCGCGCGCCCGCCCGCGCGTCCGCCTCCCTCCGGCCCCGGCCCGCCCCTCTCGCTCCTGCGGTCTCCCGCACCACACCGCCAGCGCGCAAGGATCGTCTGAGGGATGGTCCGCACCTCCCTCAAATGGCGCCTTGCCGTAACAATGGCAATATGGTGTGCGTGCGCACGACCACGGACAAGATCGTTCGTGCCCGCTCGCGCCCGCCCGCCTTCCGGCCCGCCCTGCGACGCCCACTTCCCAAACAGCTTCCCGTTCGTTACCGTCACCGACTGCCTGTGTTGCAGGTCGATCA